AGTTCCAGTGAAGGGAACTCTTAAGGCGTCAGCATGCAAAGACAGTTTGGACAATTTCATGCTCCCAACTTTGTGGGAAGAGTTTGGGGATGGCCCCTTCCTGTTCCAACATGACTGTGCACCAGTGCACAAAGCAAGGATCCATAAAGACATGGAGGAGCCAGTTTGGGGTGGAGGAACTTGACTAGCCTGCACAGAGTCCTGACCTCAACCCCATAGAACACCTTTGGGATGAATTAGAGCGGAGACTGCGAGCCAGGCCTCCTCCCCCGACATCAGTGCCTGACCTGACCTGACAAATGTGCTTCTGGAAGAATGGTCCAACCTTCCCATAGACACCCTCCTAAACCTTGTGGACGGCCTTCCCAGAAGAGTTGAAGCTGTTATAGCTGCAAAAGGCGGGGCCAACTCAATATTGAACCCTACTGACTAAAACTGGGGGGCCATTACAGGTCATGTGCGTGAAAAGGCCGGCTGACCAATACTGCGGGCATTAAAGTGTATATCTGTATATACATTGTTATATTGATGTGATTCAAGGACAAAACATTTTTCATTGTCTACATTTATACGAGGTATATTCTTTGTGTAATTTTGTATACAAAATAACAGAATTCTACGCTATGTAACATACGGTATATAACATAGACTACAATATTGCAGGGGATCAGACTATGTAACGCACACACACACAGGAAATAATGTAATGCGGAAAGAGGAAGTGATGTCACACAAACAGGAAGTAGTCTCAGAAGGAGAGTCAGAAGGAAGTAGAGAGGAGACATTGCTGGAACTGGCAGCAGAGGAGGTAATAGGATTTTATTTTAAATGTACACCCAGTAACCCACCATCATGTCCGTCCTCTTCCTCCTCCGTCACTGTGATGTCCGTCCTCTTCCTCCATATTTACTATGATGACAGTTATGGTTTATAGACCGGATACGTCCTAAATATAGAGCCATTTATCCAACTGTCCATCCAGAGCCTCTGGTTTATAGACCGGATACATCCTAAATATAGAGCCATTTATCCAACTGTCCATCCAGAGCCTCTGGTTTATAGACCGGATACATCCTAAATATAGAGCCATTTATCCAACCGTCCATCCAGAGCCTCTGGTTTATAGACCGGATACATCCTAAATATAGAACCATTTATCCAACCGTCCATCCGGAGCCTCTGGTTTATAGACCGGATACACCCTAAATATAGAACCATTTATCCAACCGTCCATCCAGAGCCTCTGGTTTATAGACCGGATACATCTGGATCAGATGGAGAAGATCAGACTAAATATCTCAGGTCCTCCAGTGACTTTAACTAATTCTTGGTGTCCTAAGAATCTGTGTTGTATATCAGAGCTGAGTGCTGGATTTACTGTTCCAGTACTTGGACATGTGGTAGGCGGAGCAATCTTCTGCCCAACAGGATCTCCATAGTTCCTGCAGCAGTAGGAGACAGTGGCTGGACACAGACTTCTGCAAAGTAAGTATCATATGACTCTTTTAGGATGGAGGGAGGTAAAGCTACAGCATCAGGAGATGCACAAGCTCTGGTTGTGAAATGTGATTATCTGTAATTATAATACAGTACTGCTAACCGCTAATGGAAAAGGAGGTTTCTGGGAAGTCTGTCGACGATGTTTTTTTTACAGAAGAACATAACAAAGTGGAAAAAATATCTGGAGATCCATTACCACCCATCAGCCGTCTTCAAAGGACATCACCCATCACAGTGCCTCCACCTCACTGCCTGACAACAGAGGGAACCAGTGCCAAGAAGATTCTAGAAGTCACCCAGAAGATCATTGATCTGCTGACAGGAGAGGTGAGTGGTGCTGGGAATTCTGGGACATTCTCCAATAACAGACAAGGGATGTGTCTGGATGGTGACTATATCATTGTGTGTGTCAGGTTCCTATAAGGTGTCAGGATGTCACTGTCTATTTCTCCATGGAGGAGTGGGAGTATTTAGAAGGACACAAGGATCTCTACAAGGACGTCATGATGGACAATCAGCCGCCCCTCACATCACCGGGTAAGAGGAGACTTTATTGTAAAGGAGAGAGCAGTACGGAGGGTCCACCTAGATCCCCCATCATCTGATAAACACATAGAAACAATGGATTCAGTCAGTGTGTGTGTTTCCTACAGATGGATCCAGTAATGGGAACCCACCAGAGAGATGTCCCCGTCCTTTGTATTCCCGGGATTCCACACAGGAAGATCACACCATCCCTCACCATCATCTGGCAGATGGGTCCAGTAATGGGAACCCACCAGAGAGATGTCCCCATCCTCTGTATTCCCGGGATTCCACACAGGAAGGTCAAACCATCCCTCACCATCATCAGGTAGTTGGGCAAAACACAAATGGCCTTCAGACTTAAGAGATTATACCCTTCTCTTAGTCCAGTGGTTTGCACATTTAATTTTTTTACCTCTTTAGCATTATGAACAGATGTATGTGAAAGTTGAGGTTAAAGAGGAAGAAGAGGAGACAGGTTATCAAGATTCTACAGCAGAAGTTGGGATGATGGTGACAATTAAACGGGAAGAACCTTCTTTAGATATCAGCACAGGTGAGTAATGAACACTAAATGCAGAAACTGTTCAAGTATATTGATTATTAAAGATATGTAGAACTTCACATCAGGTAATAATGACGTCATGATGGAGAATCAGCCGCCCCTCACATCACCGGGTAAGAGGAGACTTTATTGTAAAGGAGAGAACAGTACGGAGGGTCCACCTAGATCCCCCATCATCTGATAAACACATAGAAACAATGGATTCAGTCAGTGTGTGTGTTTCCTACAGATGGATCCAGTCATGGGAACCCACCAGAGAGATGTCCTTGTCCTCTGTATTCCCGGGATTCTACACAGGAAGGTCACACCACCCCTCATCATCAGGTAGGTTGTATTGAACATAAGTAGACATAAAAATGTATCCTAAGCTATGAGAGGACATTCTTCAGTGTGACTTCTTGTCTCTTTTTTTTTTAATGTATTCTATCATCTTTGGGGTTCAGGGTGAACAACTGAAAGACATCAAAGTTGAGGTTAAAGAGGAAGAAGAGACATTGGTGAGTGGAGATCAGCAGTCTATGGAGAGGGGGAGATGATTATAAAAAGAAAACAGGAGGAATCTTCTCTACATATGGACACAAGTAAGTCATAAACATTATTAAACCCACAGTTGCCCATACAAAGTAGAATTTTCTGCAACAAGTAAAGGATTTATTCCTGATCACTAATGGCAATCAGATAACTCCCTGGTTCAACATTCTAACATGTTTTTTTCCTACAAAAATTGGCAGCCATTTATATCTCATGAGACAAACTACTAAGTCAGTTAAAACCATTACCTGTGTCACACTATTCTACATGAGCAGCAGAGGATCACCAGACCAAGCAAACCAGAGCAGGACAAACTAGCAATGTCACATGTAGTGCGCAGCATGAGAGCAATATAGCGGGAGTGAGTGGGGACTGGAGAGAGAGGAGGAGGAGGATCAGCAGCAAACCAGAGGATCAGCAGAGCTGGGGGGGTTACTACTGAGTGCAGGATACTGCAGCAGGATCAGCAGAGCTGGGGGTTTTACTACTGAGGGATTGAGGGTTCAGTAGAGCTGGGGGTTATTACTGAGTGAGGGATCAGCAGACCTGGGGGTTACTACTGAGTGAGGAATCGGCAGAGCTGGGGGTTACTACTGAGTGAGGAATCAGTAGAGCTGGGGGTTATTACTGAGTGAGGGATCAGCAGACCTGGGGGTTACTACTGAGTGAGGGATCAGTAGAGCTGGGGGTTTTTACTGAGCAGGGGATCTGCTGAGTGAGGGTACTAATAAGCGGTTGATCTGTTGAATGAGCAGGGGTACTAAGGAGCTGGGGAGCTGCAGAGTGGGGGTACTCCTGGACCCCTTTAAAACAAATAAAAATCATGCAAAAACTGCATTTTCAAAGCTTCCCTAAAGCTTCAAAAAAGCATCACTGAAGCAACACCAAAGCATCATCAAAGCACCACTGAAGCATCACCGAAACATTGTCAAAGCATCACTGAAGCATCAAAAAAGCATGCTGAAGCGATAGGCTCTTTACTGTGTGTTTAAGTCAAAGCAAGTATAAATGTGCTCCATCTGTTCATAATAAGAACTTCATCAATCTCTGTACCCCTCAACCCAACATTCCTAACAAATGAGGTAAAGGTATTGTAGGTCCATCTCCATTCCTCAATATAACGTCATTATTGACACCATATCGAATCTCCTCCAGTCCACTTCTGTAGTCCATGTATTCCTCTTTTTATCTACCCAATGTACCCAGCAAATGAGGAGGAGATACTGGACACCATATGAGGAGGAGATAGGTCCATCTCCATTCCTCAATATAATGTCACGTTCCCAACAAATGAGGAGGAGATACTGGACACCATATGAAAGGTCCATCTCCATTCCTCAATATAACGTCATGTTCCCAACAAATGAGGAGGAGGAGATACCTGGTCCATCTCCACCATATGAAAGGTCCATCTCCATTCCTCAATATAACGTCATGTTCCCAACAAATGAGGAGGAGATACTGGACACCATATGAAAGGTCCATCTCCAGTCCTCAATATAACGTCATGTTCCCAACAAATGAGGAGGAGATATACTGGCATCTCCATCTGCACCTAATACGATGACACAGGTCTGTGAAGTTGGTAAAAGTGACATCAAATGTTTGACTCCTGAATACAAGACTGGAAGAATTCTTCAAACCCTTTTTTAAACCTTTCTTTCCAACAGATGGACTCTGTGTACGGAGTGTGGATACCTCAGAGGGAGATCTTATGTTGTTTCCAGATGATGAACAAGATAACGGGACAGAACAACGTTCTCCAAGAACAAATTCCTTTGGTCAAATAATACATCACAGATCTTACTGTTTGGCAACATCAATGGATCCCTCTAACCCTGAGGAATCCTCTGATCATTCACCTAATATGATGTCCGATATGCATATAATATCTCACAATGTGGATAGACCAACAGATCCATCTAATCCCAATGAGACTTCTTTGGAAGGAGTTCATACAGTAGACAATTCATTGGCCTGTTTGGAGTGCGGGAAATGTTTCACTGACAACAGAGCACTTCTTAGACACCAGAGATCTCACACACATGAACATCCTTCTTCCTCCTTGGATTTTGGGAACTTTTCTACTAAGAAAGGAAAACATCCTACACACCAGACAAATGACATAAGTGAGCATCCATTTTCCTGTTCAGAGTGTGGGAAATGTTTTAATAGGAAAGGAAAACTTGATAGACACCAGAGAATTCACACAGGTGAACGTCCTTTTTCATGTTCAGAGTGTGGGAATTGTTTCACACACAAAGAGAATCTTCTCAGACACCAGAGAATTCACACAGGTGAGCGTCCTTTTCTCTGTTTAGAGTGCGGGAAATGTTTTGCTAAGAAAGAAAAACTTGTTACACACCAGCGAACTCACACAGGCGAGCGTCCATTTTCCTGTTTAGAGTGTGGAAAATATTTCACTCAGAAAAAAATACTCCTTATACACCAGAGAATTCACACAGGTGAGCGTCCTTTTTCCTGTTCAGAGTGCGGGAAATGTTTCACAGCGAAAGGAGGCCTTCTTAGACACCAGAGAATTCACACACATAAGCGTCCTTTTTCATGTTCAGAGTGTGGAAAATGTTTCACTCAGAAAGAAATCCTCCTAATACACCAGAGAATTCACACAGGTGAGCGTCCTTTTTCCTGTTCCGAGTGCGGGAAATGTTTCACAGAGAAAGGAGGCCTAATTAGACACCAGAGAATTCACACACATGAGCGCCCTTTTTCCTGCTCCGAGTGCGGGAAATGTTTCATTGTGAAAGAGAAACTTCTTAGACATCAGAGGATTCATACACAAGAGCGTCCTTTTTCCTGTTCAGAGTGCGGAAAATGTTTTGCTGAGAAAAGAATCCTCTTAATACACCATAGAATTCACACAGGTGAGCGTCCTTTTTCCTGTTCAGAGTGCGGGAAACGTTTCATAGAGAAAGGAGGCCTTCTTAGACACCAGAGAATTCATACGCATGTGCATCCTTTTTTTGATTCAAGTGTGGGAAATGTTTCAGTGAGAACTTTTTCTACACCAGAATAGTCACACAGGTGAGCACCCTTTCAAATGATCAGAGTGCGGGAAATGTTTCATGCAGACCTTCCGACACACAAGATATTTCACACGGTCGAGTCCAGTTTTCTCTTTTGAGTGTGGGAATCTTTTCCCTCAGGAAAGCCTAATACTTAGGAGAATTCATAAGGGTGACTATCCTTTTTTCATGTTTTTCTTGGAAAGAAATCCTGGTTGGACACCAGAAAATTCACTGATGGAATGCAAAGAATCCTTTCTGTATAGGGAAGGTAAACCTTTTTTGTCTGTGGCCGACCACTGTGTCTACGGTCCTCAAATTTTCCCAACCACTGCATCTACAGTCCTCAACCTTGCCCAACCACTGCATCTACGGTCCTCAACGTTGCCCAAACACTGTGTCTTCAGTCCTCAACCTTGCCCAACCACTGCGTCTACGGTCCTCAGCCTTGCCCAACCACTGCATCTATGGTCCTCAACCTTGCCCAACCACTGCGTCTACAGTCCTCAACGTTGCCCGACCAGTGTGTCTACAGTCCTCAACCTTGCCTAACCACTGAGTCTATGGTCCTCAACGTTACCCAACCACTGCATCTATGGTCCTCAACCTTGCCCAACCACTGCGTCTACGGTTCTCAATATTGCCAAACCACTGCGTCTACGATCCTTATAGTTACCCAACCACTTCATCTACGGTCCTCAACGTTATCCGACCACTTCGTCTATGGTCCTCAGCGTTATCCGACCACTTCGTCTATGGTCCTCAGCGTTATCCGACTACTGTGTCTATGCTCCTTAACGTTATCTGACCACTGCGTCTACGGTTCTCAACGTTACCCGACCACTACATCTCTAGTCCTCAACGTTACCCGACCACTGCATCTCTGGTTCTCAACATTACCCGACCACTGCATCTCTGGTTCTCAACATTACCCGACCACTGCATCTCTGGTTCTCAACGTTACCCGACCACTGCATCTCTGGTCCTCAACGTTACCAGACTACTGTGTCTACAATCCTCATTGTTACCTGACCACTTTGTCTATGCTCCTCAACGTTATCCGACCACTGAGTCTACGGTCCTCAACGTTATCCAACAACTGCATCTCTGGTTCTCAATGTTACCCGACCACTGCGCTACAGTCCTCAACGTTATCCGACCACTGAGTCTACGGTCCTCAACGTTATCTGACCACTGCATCTCTGGTTCTCAATGTTATCCGACCACTGCATCTCTGGTCCTCAACGTTACCCGACCACTGAGTCTACGGTTCTCAACATTATCCGACCACTGCATCTCTGGTCCTCAACGTTACCCGACCACTGCATCTCTGGTCCTCAACATTACCCGACTACTTCATCTACAATCCTCATTGTTACCTGACCACTTCTACGGTCCTCAACGTTATCCGACCACTGCATCTCTGGTCCTCAATGTTATCCGACCACTGCGTCTACGGTCCTCAACGTTATCCGACCACTGAGTCTACGGTCCTCAACGTTATCTGACCACTGCATCTCTGGTTCTCAATGTTATCTGACCACTGCATCTCTGGTCCTCAATGTTACCCGACCACTGCGTCTACGGCCCTCAATGTTATCCAACTACTGCATCTCTGGTCCTTAATGTTAACCGACCACTGCGTCTACAGTCCTCAACGTTATCCAACCACTGAGTCTACAGTCCTCAACGTTATCTGACCACTGCATCTCTGGTTCTTAATGTTATCCAACCACTGCATCTCTGGTCCTCAATGTTACCCGACCACTGCGTCTACAGCCCTCAATGTTATCCAACCACTGCATCTCTGGTCCTCAACGTTACCCGACCACTACATCTCTGGTCCTCAACATTACCCGACTACTGCATCTACAATCCTCATTGTTACCTGACCACTTCTTCTACGGTCCTCAACATTATCCGACCACTGCATCTCTGGTCCTCAATGTTAACCGACCACTGCGTCTACGGTCCTCAACGTTATCTGACCACTGAGTCCCTACGGTCCTCAACGTTATCTGACCACTGCATCTCTGGTTCTCAATGTTATCCGACCACTGCATCTCTGGTCCTCAATGTTACCCGACCACTGCGTCTACGGCCCTCAATGTTATCCAACTACTGCATCTCTGGTCCTCAATGTTAACCGACCACTGCGTCTACGGTCCTCAACGTTATCCGACCACTGAGTCTACAGTCCTCAACGTTATCTGACCACTGCATCTCTGGTTCTCAATGTTATCCAACCACTGCATCTCTGGTCCTCAACGTTACCCGACCACTGCGTCTACGGCCCTCAATGTTATCCAACCACTGCATCTCTGGTCCTCAACGTTACCCGACCACTGCATCTCTGGTCCTCAACATTACCCGACTACTGCATCTACAATCCTCATTGTTACCTGACCACTTCTTCTACGGTCCTCAACGTTATCCGACCACTGCATCTCTGGTCCTCAATGTTAACCGACTACTGCGTCTACAGTCCTCAACGTTACCCGACCACTGAGTCTACGGTTCTCAACGTTATCCGACCACTGCATCTCTGGTTCTCAATGTTATCCAACCACTGCAACTCTGGTCCTCAATGTTACCAGACTACTGTGTCTATAATCCTCATTGTTACCTGACCACTTCTTCTGCGGTCCTCAATGTTATTCGACCACTGCATCTCTGGTCCTTAATGTTACCCGACCACTGCGTCTACGGTCCTCAACGTTATCCGACCACTGCCTCTACGGTCCTCAACGTTATCCGACCACTGAGGCTACGGTTCTCAACGTTATCCGACCACTGCATCTCTGGTTCTCAATGTTACCTGACCACTGCATCTCTGGTCCTCAATGTTACCCAACCACTGTGTCTACGGCCCTCAATGTTATCCAACCACTGCATCTCTGGTTCTCAACGTTATCCGACCACTGCATCTCTGGTCCTCAACGTTACCCGACTACTGCGTCTTCATCCTCATTGTTACCTGACCACTTAGTCTATGGTCCTCAACGTTATCTGACCACTGTGTCTATGCTCCTCAATGTTATCCGACCACTGTGTCTATGCTCCTCAACGTTATCCGACCACTGCGTCTAAGGTCCTCAACATTATCCGACCACTGAGTCTACAGTCCTCAACATTATCCGACCACTGCATCTCTGGTTCTCAACGTTACCCGACCACTGCATCTCTGGTCCTCAATGTTACCCGACTACTGCGTCTACAATCCTCATTGTTACCTGACCACTTCTTCTACGGTCCTCAACGTAATCCGACCACTGCATCTCTGGTCCTCAATGTTACCCAACCACTGCATCTCTTGTCCTCAATGTTACCCGACCACTGCGTCTACGGTCCTTAACGTTACCACTGGGTGTTCGGTCCTCAACATTATTTGACCACTGCATCTCTGGTCCTCAACCTTACCTGACCACTGCGTCTATGGTCCTCACTGTTAACCGACCACTGCGTCTACGGTCAAAGTTGCCCGTTTCTTTGCACTTCTTAAAAGAGCTTCAACTGCACATCTTGAAACCCCGGTCTGTTTTGAAATCTTTGCCTGGGAGAGACGTTGCTGATGCGGTATAACTACCTTGTGTCTTGTTGTTGTGCTCAGTCTTGCCATGGTGTATGACCTGAAACTCTCTTCCACATACTCAACTCAGTAGCAGAGTTTGGCTTTTCCTCACCCAGTTTTAAGCCTCCTACACAGCTTTTTCTGTTTCAGGTACTGACTATATCAACCTACATATGTAATTGATGATCATTAGCACCTGCCTGGTATAATTGATTAACCATACACCTCATCCAACAAAATCCCTGACTTTGTGCAAGTGTAAGAATCGATGCTGGAAGGGTAGTCACACCAAATATTGATTTGATAAAGATCTGTCTTCGATTCGCTCACTTTGCATTTTGTCATTTGATAAAAAATAAACAAAATAAATATTTTTGATAGTATCGTTACTTTACAGCATTTCTTCACACCAAATATTGATTGGATTTGGTTCTCTCTTCTGTTTATTTTCCTTTTTGTACATTGATAAAAATAAACCATTAACACTTCTATTTCTGAAAGCATTCTTTTCTTCACACCTGCTTAAAACTTTTGCACAGTAGTGTATATTCACAAAAATTATATGAGTACACTGACCGGCCACTTTATTAGGTCCACCTTCCTAGTCCCGGGTTCGACCCCCTTCATTCTTGGTGGCAGAGATTCAACAAGGTGTTGGAAACATTCCTCAGAGATTCTGGTCCATATGGACATGATTGCTTCACACAGTGGCTGCAGATTTGTCGGCTGCTCATCCATGATGCGAATCTCCGATTCCACTACATCCCAAAGGGGCTCTATTGGATGGAGATCTGGTGAATGTGGAGGCCATTGGAGTCCAGTGTCCTCATTGTCATGTTCAAGAAACCAGTTGGAGATGATGTGAGCT